TCACAGGATTGTTCTGAGGAAAATGTTGGTTAGGAATCTGTTTGTAGAGCCTTGAGCTTGGAGGAAGAAGAGGATAACTAATGCGATAATTTACGACACACTGCTTCCAGAAGCAGAGAGTGTTCAATTCCTCCTCTTCTCCGGGAGAGAAATTGAAATGTGTACACAACCATTGCATGGAACAGACTGAATGGGATCTGAAAACTCTTTCTCTTGTGTCATCGGTGAAAGTGAAATAGGCAATTCTTTTCAAAGGTTGGAGAGTGTCAGTGGCATTTTTCAAATTTAGATTCTTAAGGCTTTTATATGCAAATGTGGAGATTAATGCCAAAGGACAGAATGAAAATGTGTGGCACCCGGCATTCACCCCAGTGACAAAGCTTTGTGACGGAAAACAAATGATTCAGAAAATTATTAGTCATTTATGTAAGGATTTGTGTTTTAGAAAACCATTTTTTAATTAGAAAATAGTTTTAATCACTACACTATAGAGTTCAAAATACGAAATACACTTTTAAAAGAAAGTACACTTATCTCTTGCTCGTTTTTAAACTGGATTTTTACGGTCCTTAAAGCACAAATATCCAAGAAGTACCAAAAAAGTGCAAACTCACATTTATTTATATGTCCATCCATTTTTATAAAATTAGGGTCATATCAGAGAATGTTTTAAAATTATGACATTTTCAACAAATTGCAGCCCCAAAAAATTTAAGCAGGCTATTTTGATTTTAGGAGCTTCTGTATCTGAAACTTGGGATTGCATTTACAGTCCATATGTTATATTTCAAGAGAGGATCAGAAAATAAAGTCCAGTCATATACATATACAAATGTTAAGGATTGTCATTTGGTACAATTATACCCCCGTTCTATAGAATTAAGCCCCATTTCTCCTAATAGGACTTGCAGTTTAGGAATATTATAGAAAGTTGAAGTATAAAAGTTTTCCCCTGAACTCAAGAGTCATAACTGGTGGGATTACAGCTGTGCTTTTTCTTAGAACTGTAGACTTGAAGGTGCAATTTTATGTACATTTGCTTTTTCCACTTGTCTGAGAATAAGTCCTTGAATCAGATTCAACTTATTCTTCAGGATTGGGCAAGTATTGTACATCCATTTCCCCGAGCCTCTCATTCTCGATCCCAAAGTCATTTGTAGTACCTGAACTGTATTTGCCATGCACAGATATTTTAATCAAAAATTTATGCCATTTATCTATGCCCATTTTCTTCTTGTGAAATTTGAAATAAGTTTGAAAGCCATAACATAATTTTTACCTCGGTTGATGTCTAACAGATAGATGCACATTTATTTTTTTAACTGGGCTCTGCCTAATTAAAGGAAGTCCGTAAGTGCAGAAAGAAAGAAACTTGCTGGAATTTCTAGGAGCGTTAGCAGGAATCCCCTGTGGGCCAAAAGCCAATTTTATAAATTATAAAAATGAATAATTTCAGTAAAATGCAGAAAAGTTCTCCGGGTTGAAGCCTTTATAGACCGTGTGTCTGTAAATCAGATAATGGATTTGTACTTCATGTCCTCTGACTCAGTCATTTTCTATGAACAGCATCTTGCCTTTGCTTTGAATATTAGTTCATTAGCAAAAGTTGAGAAACGTTTGCACCAGGTGGGTGATAGCCCCAGGTGAAGTCAAAAAACAAGCGAAGTCAAAAACCATATTGTCAGTCAGCTAAACTTCATTCTGAAGATTGCTTCACCCCACATTTTTCTTTATTTAATTTTTAAAAGCCACTCGAAAGCTGGAATTTGGTCAGGGAAGTACTTATTTTTAAAAGGCACATATTGGGGCTGCAGTTCTTGATAGTCACAATAAAAAGCAGGTTTCTGGAGAATTGTAGCTGAGGGAGCTGCTACCTCTAGATGGTGGGGGAGCAAGTCCCAGTCTCCTGTGATTTGCAAAAAAATCTTTGCCCAGCTATAGCAGTGTATAAATTATATTAATATGCAGTCCTTTTCAAATGTCCCCCCTCCCCATGGTCTGCCTTTCAAGGGAACCCAGCTTAAGAGCTTCCATTTGCTGCCTTTGTAAAACATTTTTTCAAAAGAGCAGAAATATGTTTTTTTTTAATTTTCCTTTCATTAGATAACAGAAACAGATTTCAGCTGCTTGCATATTTGCTATGGTGTTCTGAAATATTATTGCATAAACGAGAAATTAGATATCCAAAGCTCTGACCCTTAATGAATAATCCGCAATTAGTGCCAGAAGCAGGAGATTAAAACGACCAACTTGAGAAAAGAGAAACTACAACATTTTAACATTTTTTTAAGAAGCGTTGCTTCCCCCCCCCCCGATATTAAAAATAGCAAACTTTCAGTAGTTAACATGGTTGTATAAATACATAAGCTTACTCCAAGTTTCCCAGAATAACCTTTTAAAACATATACTACGCAGCTGATTCAAAAGATGATCATTTTATGGCATGTTCGATTACCGGAAAGAGAGTTATAAAAGAGAGAATAAAAGGTGAATTGTTGCATAAGAAACCAGCCTTACCCGATTGAATCTTGAATGTTGTTCTGTACTTGTTCTGCAGTTAAATTTCGAGGGGAGTCGGTTTAAGCCCTTACGGTGAAAAGAGATGAGTAGCATTTTGTCATTCGTTTAACACTCATTGTCTGGGCATTTCTTATCTAGGGATCTGTTGACTCTCTTTGAAAGTTTGAACCTTTTCCCTTGTTGGGATTCTGTGTCATCTGAAAACTTTACTCCAGTGCAGATTGGTCTGAAAAAGATGACTCGTTTTTCTGGTCATCTTTTTGCAGAGGATCATACCAGAATGATGAATCTTGATTTTTTAGGGAGGGGAGGGGTGTCTATAAAGTGACAGAATTTCCTAATATGATATCACTCTTCTTTTCATGACATTGCCCTTAAAAATGGTAATGTTGAGGAACAGGGTAAACGTTTGGGGACAGGTCTCCAATTCTCTAAGTGAGGATCACTTGGCCCCTTAAAAAAGAAATCGTATGCTACATTATAAAATTCTGTTTTTCAAGGGTTGATGAACAATTCACAATATAAATTGGGGACCGGCTGTTGGGGTGGATTTTTTTGTTTCAGGATATACCCTCCCCATCTACCCCCACCCCAAATGCCCCAAACAGTCGAGTCCATGTTAGGACAAGCTAGTTGTCTTAAACTTTCCAGTAAGGTAAAAGAACTGAATTTATAGAGGTGCTTTTACATATGTATCTTATTAAAAGAGTGAGGATAACATACATATTTTAAAACAAAAACAACAACTTCTTCCCCATCCCCAAAAATCTGGATCTCCAGACACTGATCTTAGTTATTTTAAAGAAATATAAGAAATAGTTGCAATGTTGTCTGGGTTTGTTTAGTCTTTGGTTTTCTGTTTATAGCGTGCCTGCGCGCGCATGCGCTTTTCAGACCTTTACGTGCCTTTGACAGGAGAGTGTAATGGTAATAAAGGGAGCAATAATCTAATTTCACTGAGACCCTTTTTATATTTTGCCCACCTGCAAGCAGGTGAGTGGTTGGAAATTTGCTCCCTGCCCCTCCAATCCCCCTTTTAGGCTTCTAGAAATCCCCCGAAAGAGGAAAGCCGAAAAGTGCAATGTTCAGGGCAGTGAGGTTTGGGGCAGGATGTGGATCTGAAGCCAGGTCCCAGTGCAACTCTGGACGCTGTATCTAATCAATGGGCCAGGTTTCCAAGCGTGTTGGATGACAGATCCTATCATCCGTGGCCAACCTGCTGGAAGGCCCCTGCCCGCCAAAGGCCAGCGTTCCTCCGTCTCTGGCTCTCCCCACGCCTCCCCGTTTTTCTCGCCTCTTAAACGGCACGTTGCCGATGAGGCTGGAGGGAGCCCGTTCTTTGCTTCGTGGTGGTGGGGCAGACATGGGCCGATACCTGCTTTGGCCTGATCCTGGCTGTTGGGGGGGGGGATATGATAGTAGAGAAAAACACTCCCCACCCCCACCCTGCTCACAATCCTTGCCAAGTATGTCATTGACCCCTTTTTGGCTCCCGGTGCAGATCCCAGCTTTTCCTGGGCACCGAGCGAAGGCGGCTCTCTGCCAGACCCCTCTTATTTTCGAGAAAGCAGCACTCTTCCTATCTAGGGAAAAGCGGTCAGCACAAGGTGTGGGAGCGCACTGCAGCCCGGCATGATTCAGAAGCCAAGGTCCTTTGTTAATCGATCACCTTTTCTTTTTCCTCCTCCTTCCTCTCTCTTTTTCTTGCCCCCCCCTTTCTTTTTTTTTTAATTGCCTGACTTTTGATGGGAGGTACCTTTCTGGAGCTGGGGAATGCATTCTTTTTTGGATAAGGCCCTGGGGGCGTTGGGTGGATGACGCAGGAGTTGTCCTAATAAGGACTTGGTCTGGTCGAGGTCCGCCTCTTTTGGGGAGGATGGGGGCAAGTCACCAGGGGGAGGCGGGCAGTTTCTTTTTTAAACGGGGCGACTGACACCAGCCAAGTCATTTCCTTGCTAATCGGTTCAAACCAGTTCTTACAGGAACCCTGGGTGATAAATGGTTGGGACTTCTCGGAAGTCACCCTCTTCCAACGCCGCCACCCGGCACTGGCCTGGCGCACAGACAGCCCCGGTTCAGGAAGTTCCAGCCTGGACCTTCAGATCTTTCTCTGCGCCCTGCTGGGGCTTCATCCAGGCTTGCCAACTGGCTGCCAAAAGCCTTTTTTTTCCCCCCACTCCTTTTGGCTTCCTTTGCTTTTCTTGGCTGCTTTTCTTTCCTTCCCCCCCCCCCTATTTTTAGGGACACACGCCATGCTTTTACACCAGCTGAAAGAGAGCCCGTGCTGTTTTCTCTCTTCCGAGCAACCCCCCTCCCCTCAACTAGGGTTGATTTTTCTCCCGTTTTAGCTTTCGTTTGGTAAGTTCCTCTCCCTCCTCAATTCATGTGTCCTGTGCTCTCTCTTTTCCCTTCCCCCTTCTCCTCCCCCCTTCCCCAAATGCTTGGCCTCGCGTGCAACTTGGGGGCCCACTCGCAAATAGCTCTGTGCCCAGCATCGGTGCGTTGCTCCAAAAGCCTTTTCAAGAGTACTTGGAAGCTCAGCGGATAAAGCTGCGTAGCAGAGCCAACGAAGCACCCCAGGTAAGAAATCTCACCTTGTTTTCTTTCCCAAATGTCTTTGGGTCACCCCTTCCTCCCCCACCACCCCCGTCCCCCTTTTGCTGAGATTGGGCTTCCTGGTTGCATAAAGGAAGACAGCAAAGCTGTCTGAACAGCAGGCAAAGTTTCCTAGTGGCCAGCTGCTAGAAGGAAACCATGTTAAGGAATTGGCTGTCTTAAGGAGAATATTGTGAATAGGGTATGAGTAAAATCTGGGGCGCTCCAGTGAAAATCTCCTTAATGCAATCCTTGAAAGATTCATTAGCCATACATGAGTTTGGTTGAAGAGCGTTCCTGTATTTCTTTCCTCCTTGCCTGTCCCACCTTATTTCATCTTCAGAAGGTAGGCGTTCAAGAGGAAAAGCAAGCCGGTTTTAGGAAACTATGGGAAAATGTGATTTTTAGTCTTACTTTTTAAATTCACTGCTCACCGCTGCCCTCTTGTGTTTCAAAGGAGAACCTTTGAGTTGAGAAGACTTCTCTCAAAAGCTCTCCCATTACTATTCCCCCTCCTGATGACTGATATTACTTTTCTGATTCCGAGGGTGAATTTTTTTAAACTGATGCCAGAGTTCAACCAAGGGAGGAGGGCAGAGGGCAGAGTTCAGCCAAGGGAGGAGGGCAGGCTGTTCTCCAATTGGGACTTTCAAAGTGGGACTGAGAACCACGTTAGTTTTGCAGCAACTCCCATCATCTTACGCAGACATACCTGTTTATCAATTATAGAAGCGGTTTTCAAACAGGGGCCAGAATCGCTGCCCTTGGGGGACTCCACTTAAAAGCATCTGAGATACTGGGAGCACCACTGCCAACCTATTGTGTTAGACTGATACTCCCACATTATTCTTGAGAAACTGAGTAAACCAAATCAGCTTCCCAGAGGGATAAGCTCACCCACCATTACTCATCTTCCCTACAAAAGAGCATTTAAGTCTTTCCAGTAATAGATTTGGTCATTGGTCATCTGCCCCTGCATTGTGTCTCGCTGCTAAAAGTTCTACCACCCAACCAACCCTTGTAACTGGAAATCCCAGGATTGAACCCAGGACCATCTACATGGGGTATTGTGGGGGAGGACATGACCTCCGCCACACCGAAGAGCCTAGCGAATTTGACTTGTTGCCCCATGAACCTAAGTTGGGGAGTGAAAGAAGATGGGTACCTCCCATCAGCCTATGCGATATTTTGAAACACGCATGACCCTAATGTTGATCTTCTTTTTCTCTCTCCTCCTTCCTCTTGTCATGTTTTCTGCAGGGTGAAAACTGGCTCTCGTGGATGTTTGAAAAATTGGTTATAGTCATGGTGTGCTACTTTGTCTTATCCATTATTAACTCCACGGCCCAAAGTTACGCCAAGCGTCTCCAGCAACATATGCACTCTGAGGAGAAAACTAAATGAGCTGGAGTGGGAAAGGGAGTGATGGACCCCAAATTCCACTGGAATAACCAGCCTTGCATTTAAAAAAAATAATACTAATTTGCAAAGGAGGGACAGGGGTTCGGGGTGGGGTGGGGGTGGAATCTTTTGTTTTTGGAATACTGCTCTTTTTTAAAGTAACTCTGCCATTAGTAACGAGTTCTCATGGACCACCGTCTCTACGTTAAAGGTAATAGATGTACCCTTCTTTAAATTTAAATTAATTTCTTGATTTATGCTTTCCCACTTCCAAAAGCACTACGTGGCTGGGTTGATTTTTTTTTTCTTTACTTTTTCTTATTTTTAAAGAAAAGTACCTTGCCCTCCGTAACTTTTAGTGCTACTGGCCATGACGTTTAATGTTCAAGATGGACCACTCTGTCCCTGGGGGGTGCAAAACCATCCTAGTCTTAATCTGACTAGTCTTAGATTTACTAGCTGCGGGCGTGGCCCTTTGAAGAACATCTGGAAATTCCCCATTTCATGTTCATGGAGAGGTTGCTGGGGGGGTGTCATCTAATTCTTCTTTTCTTTGGGCCTATTTAGAAGGGCATTAAGTTACCATCTCAGATCATTCCAGACCTCCCTGTTTTGGTCTTTTAAAACTATCCCCAGTCCTTCCCCTTTTTGTGTTTTTGTTAACCCCCCTCCCTTTTTTTTAGTTCCCCTGCACCATCTACCAGCCCCTGTTGTTGTCGAATGCTCGCTATGCTCCTTTGGAGCTTTTAGTTCTTGGATTTTCCCAAGAACTCCTTGCTCAGATAAAGGAAATAGAAAGTGTGGACCTTGACACTGTTCAGTTATTTTTATTTATTTAACTGACACGTAGCCCAATACCCAGGGTATTCTTGTGTTGAATTTTTTAATGGTTAACTCTTGCAGTGTTTCCAGAGCGCTATTAGGAAATGCACAAGAAGGTGGTTTGTAAGGTACAGGAAAGGTAACTGGAATAAACATTCAAAGATACTTTAACAAAGGTGCCTCTTTTTGTTAAAAGAAAAAGAATAGTGATTACAAAGCAGCTTATTTGCTTCGTTTTGAGTGTCTGCCGTCCCTGAAATGCTGGAAGTTGTCACCAGGGAGTTCAGCCCTGATCTCAAGGAACATCAACGGGCAGATTCAAAAGAAGGCACTCTCGGTGTTCCTAGAAAGGAGACCATGCTCATTTCCAAAGTGTGGATGGGATGTCGTAGCTTTGCTCATAGATTGTTGTGCTTGGTTGGGGATCTGGATTCTTTGATGCCCAAAGAATGACCTCTCCTTTCTGGCACTGTGATGCGGAGTGATGCCTCCCCTCCAAAGGTTTCAAAACTTTCCCCTCCCTGTCTTTAAAACACCTGCTCTCTCCCAGCATGTAGAACAGAAGTCCCTGCTTTGCTGAGGAACTTCTTCAGAACTTTGCCAGAACAGAATCAGAGCTGATAGTGGTGCCTGGGGGGAAATGGTTTCCTTTCTAAGGGTGTTATTAGTCTCGGCTAATCAAGTCAGTTGACTGCAGGGGGTGCTTTGTCTCACCCAGTCCTGTTTTATGTTGCCTTATGGGTGGTCATAATGCCTCTGAGAACCAGCTGGGTTTCTGGCAGACAGGCCCTTTCTCCATACGGTCAAGCAAGTTGTATGTCTCCCATCTTCTCCACTCGTGTTACCCCCATCTGCCTACCCGTCTGCCTGTCTAGCATTGTGACACCTCCGTGGCTTGTACCTTTCTGTCGGATAGCTTATCAGACTGATGTTGACTGTTGGATGTCATGGCAACAACAGTCGGTAGGCTGTCTGACATTTTGGTATCTTTCATCTTGACTGTGACCATCCATCCATCCATCCCCAACCTGTTTGTCCAACCTCCGGCTGCTGCTTGACATTTGCATTTTAAGAAGCGGACATCCTTGGATATCTAATCATCACTTGGGCCCTTCACGTTGATCACTGAGGTGCATTTGGTTCAATGTTGCTCAAGCTCTTTCGGCAGGTATGTTTCCAGAGGGCAAGAAGCCCTGCGTTGGTGCGGTGGGTGGAATAAGATGTCCTCAGAAACAGTTGAGCAAGAAAAAAAGACGTCCATTGCTCAGAGCTGGAGGAGAAGTTCTGCGTCAGTAAATTGAGCCCAGATTTCTCCCAACTTCTCTCTACTGTGCAAAATGGTGCTAGGGACTTGCTCAGTTCCCCTACTCTTTCCTGAAGCATATTTTCATATGCTCTGAAAATACTACTCTAAGCGGTGTGGGGGTAGGGTCCTCCAGAAGAGACAGTAGGAAGGAAATATTATGGAAACAATCTCCATGCACGGCATTTCATGGTCACCCTCCATGGCTTTAGAATACAGGCTCTGGGTTTCAGGTTTGATGCAAGCCAGCAATGCACTGTAGTTAGTCCCCAGTAAGATTTCAGTCCAGCACTTTTGACCTGGTGTCCCCATAGAGGCTCTTCAGCAATCTTCTCCCTAGCCCTCAGACCCCCAATGTTGGTATGCGTTGAAAGTTGTCATTGATCTTCCATGGTTTCCTTTACAAACACTCAACCAAAAACCAACAGTCTTTTGAAGAATTGTGCACCCAATTAGCCAATATGTGAAAAAAGGAAGTAGCAGTTGAATCCGTGGTATAAGTACGTTTTGTAGTTCCCAAATTTAAAACTTGTTCCATTTTCAAGTTTGCTCGCTCTTTGTTTATTATGCCTGCATTGCCTTGAGCCGTCAATTTTTGACATGTAGGATGTTTGCATTTTTTTTTTTTTTTATGTGGAAGTATGTGTAACCCATAGAAGTTTTTTCATTAAAGACCAGGTCACAGAATAGTTAGCCAGGCAGTGGGACTTCTGGAATGGTTTTCATTTTTCTTCCAGTCTCCTGTTAATTGCTGAAACTAGCCTTCCCCATCTTGGGGTATCGTCCTGCAAAAGCCATACTGGCTGGGGATGATGGAGATTGTGGAGGGCAGGGAGTTGGGTAAGGGTGATCTAGCACAAGCCAGTAGCATCTTGGAACAAAACCGCCTGAAGCTGTGGCTGATGGGTGGAACGAAAAGGAGAGGATGATCATTTTTATTATTAGCTGTTCGTGCATGAATCCATCTTCTGTTTTCCCAACTTTATCAACACACCACTTGCTTAGCATCTCAACAAAGGCCTGCAAACTTTAAAAAGTACCGAGATGATGATTTACGGTGCAGCAGTTCTTATAGAATAATTCAGTTATCAATCTTCAGAATAATTAGATGTTTGTGGATATCTCAATGTGTATTTATGGAGATAGATTCCCTGTAAGTGTGGGGTTGTGCTCAGTGTTCACTTTTCTATTCTGATTGATGTGCCTCTTTCCAATTAAATGCAAGAATACACGGGGAAGAAGAATGCCTCTGGGTTACTAAACAAGTAAGCAAAAATGTAGAGGATCTGCAGAACTTTATAAACATGCAAATAAATGCCTTGCTGGTGAATCAAATAAAGCAAAATAAATTGCATTTTTTGGTGTAATGAGGTACTTATTTCCAAAACATTCTGATTCCATACTGAGAATTTCTCTCATTGCGTCTTCTGTTTGATCATTCAAGCTGCTCTAAAGGTAGATGTATTGGTTTTGTAGTTGCCTCACTTTGGGGACTCAATTCTGTAAATTATACTGATTAGCACACAAATAAAGGGGGATGGCTGGCTTGATAGTGGTACTTGTGAAAAAGATCATAACCCTTAGAACAATAGTTGATTGTCACCTGCCTATAAGCCAGCCGTCTACCATAGCTGCAAAAACGGCAAAGACAATTTTAGGCTGCCTCAACAGACACATGGTTTCCAGACCACTGAAAATCCTTGTTCCAATTTATTCTGCTTTGGTCAGACCCTGGCGAACTCGGAAGGGTGATACAAAGAAATAGGCCGAGAGCCTGTTCTTCACTCCAGAACGCACAATGTGGAATTACAGCCTTAACTTACAGGAAAGCAGATTCTGGTAGAAATTTAGGAAAAAGGTATCCTGAGACTAAGAGTGATTTGACAGTGGAACCAGTGACCCCAAGAGGGGGCTAGTTCCCCGTCTCTGGAGGTGTCCAAGCAGAAGCTAGGGGGTCAACTGTCCAGAACACTTTATTTGGCATTTGTGCACCGAGCAGGGCTGGATTCAAGGACCCAAAGGCCTCTTCCAATGCTGTGATTCTGTTGCTGAGCTAGAAGCAAACCAGTTCTTGGTCTCCAGAAGGCTTACCGGCCGAGTCCTGAGCCCCAGGAAGCCAACAACAGAAATGGCAGTGAGAAACTGAGCAAAGGCAGTTAGACATGCTTGCAAAGGATTTTTTGTTTTTAATATGGTTTGAAACTCGCCTAATACACGGCAGAAGCCACTTCTCCAATTTCAGATTTCCCCCCACACAGCCTACAAAGTTTCATTCTCAGTCCAGAAGTAGTTGAGCCCTTAAATTCACCGGTAGAGACTTGGGGAAAATCTGAGTTTATTCCTCTGCTATTTCTGACTTGAGAATGAAACTTTAAAGGCTGTTTATGGGGAACATCAGTGCTGCCTGGACAAACCTCCAGGACTTCCTGGTTGGCATGTGCCCCACAATTTGTCCAGAAGAAAGGTGGTTTGCAGCTTGTGATAGCACCTGATTATCAGGTTGCTGGGAGAAGGAGTGGAGGAAATTGCTGCAAATAATCTTCAAGAATAATACATTTTGTACTGGAAAGATCTATTGAAAAAGGTAAAGTCCATTCTGACTGAGTTTTATTATTTCCTCACACGTATGCAGGGATCCTCCCCTTCTGTTCTGGTGAGGACATTGGGAATGTTGTGACCATGTTGTGGGTGCCCTCACAAAATAGCGACTTGGTTGGCTTACTCTTTCACAAAATAGACAGGCCACAAGAGGACACCATGAAGTACAGGGTCTAGATCCATTGAGATGTCCCCTGCCCCTTCCTCCTGCTTCTCCACAGGACATTCCCTCCTTCCCTCTTACCTTTCCTCTTTTTGGAGAGGGGGGTCCACTTCAAAAGAAAGCACAACATTTTGGTTTTCTAAGAAAACTTTGAAGACAGCCAGTTGGTGTAGTGGTTAAAGGCTAGAAACCAGGAGAACATGAGTTCCAGTCCTGATTAGGCATGAAGCCAGTGGGTGACCTTGGGCCAGTCACCCTCTCTCAGCCCCGGGAAGGAGGCAATAGCAAACCACTTCTGAAAATCTTGCCAAGAAAACTGCAGGGACTTGTCCAGGCAGTTGCCAGGAGTCAAAAACTGACTTGAAGACAGACACACGGGCCCATTTTGAGGCCAGAGACTTCCTTGACAATCAAGATCACGTTAGAGGCAGGCACTTTGCTTTCCCATTTCAAATCTATCTGGTGGTGCCCAAACTCACATGTGCAATTAAAATGGATTGGGTTTGGTTCAACTAAAACTGCCTTTTAAGAGAACCATGGGCAAAAAAACCAAACCAGTATTAAGTTCCTCTCCCTTCTCCCTGTGGATACACTTGAGGGTTGGACATCAGAAAGCTGAGTTTCTGACAAGTTTTGCCAGGGATAATGGGAACTGGAGCCCAGCATGACTGCAGGGTGCCTGGTTGGGGGCCACAGAAACCCAGTCTCTAAGAAGATGAGAGGTTAATTAAAACCAGGAATCCGAAGATTCCTACTTCAACTTCTGCAATGGGGTTTGTCAAATTCAGGCATCTGTTAGAGCCACAATCTCTCAACAGATCTTCCCAGCTTCTGCACGTGGGTTTATCCTCCCCCCCGTGCATGTCTGCTCAGGACCACATAGCCCATCCACAAGTCTTACTGGCCACCTGTCATTTCCAAATTCAGCTTTTGCAAACCGCAAGATCATTTCGGTGGGCAACTGCATTTTTTTTTTTTGACAGATTTCAAACCAGGCCGATTCTTTCCACTTCAGCCAGAATTGAGTTGTCTAGTCCAAAACCAAAATGAATATCAGATAATTTGCATCGCCAAGGATCACGTGTTTGGTTCAAAGTTTTCA